ACAAAAAAAAAAAAAAAAAAAAAAAAAAAAAAAAAAAAAAAAAAAAAAAAAAAAAAAAGGGGGGGGTTTTTTTTAAAAAGCTAACTGAACCATCAGGCTTCTGGCTTATAAAAATTATACTCAACTACACAAACCAAGACTATTTTTTTCCACTCAGGTTTTTGGTAACTACATAAACTATGAGCGAAAAGAATGGTGTATACATTGCTTATGTTGAGTTTATATCTAAATGTATATGATATATTAGGAAACTTCAAATTAGTTTTTGGAACTGTCACCCATCCTGGTTTTGGTATGTAAATTTTCTTTTCATACTCAAGTTTTGTCAGTTCTGCTCTACAGATCTCCTGCTAAGGAATGTTCACCTACATTAAATATTTGTAACCTTGGAGAATAGAGGTCTCAAATTCATTTCTGAACTCACTACCTTTATGATAAGATCCTATTTACCAAGGAACATTTATGGTACTTGGAACATAAATCACAAATGCTATCTTTAGGGTGATAGGACCTGAGCCGAAGTCCACTGAAGTCAATGGTAGTCTTTCCATAGACTCAGTGGGTTTTGGATCAGGCCTTTAGTTAGTATTCCTTACTCAGGCAAAACGCTCCTTAACTTCAGAGTAAGGAGGGTTGAACAGGACCCCTAATGGTCCTCTGCCAGACCCATAAATTCAGTACATTCCATCATAAGATGTAATCTATTACTATAACTTAACAAGTATCAGAGGGGTAGCCGTGTTAGTCTGAATCTGTAAAAAGCAACAGAGGGTCCTGTGGCACCTTTGAGACTAACAGAAGTATTGGGAGCATAAGCTTTCGTGCATCTGAAGAAGTGAGGTTCTTACCCACGAAAGCTATACCCTCTGTTGCTTATAACTTAACAGTTTCTCCTCTGCTGACAACTGCTGATTCACAGGGTTGACTTTTTTTGTGTGTGGAGTTTGGAATGGACCAGTTTGCCAAAAGGGTTAGACTGTCTACCTCTTGCAGCAGCCTTCAAGTAAGATATGGCTATGGCAAAGCATCCCTCTCCATACCAGAAGGTTTTTAAACAGATAAAGTATATTTGTTTAGTGTGTAATATACCACTGTGGCTGCCATTAAAAAAGTTAAAATTTACTTTTAGTCATCACACAAGGTAGGAGATACCACAGTTATTTCCCTATCCTTTGGGCCAGATCAAAGCCCCCTGAGGTCAATGGGAGTCTTTCCATTAACTTGAATGTGCTTTTGATCAGCTGCCTAGACTCAAAGAATTGTGGTTTCTCTGGTAACCATACAAAATGTATAAATAATGAAACTTTAATGTATGTTGACAGTATGCATTAGTGCAATAAGCCTCACATTAACTATGTCTAAACAGTTTTTTCATACACTTCATATTTGTACCGGATGCCATTCTCTTCTTGGACATCAGCAGGGACTCCTGGATATCTGGGGAGGGGAGAAAAACAAAACCCCATAATTTAATAGACTATCATCTGTAACACTTTTAACAAACTGGAAAAGTCTGAAAACCAAAACACCATCCATAACATGGGAATGGTGATTACATATCAATTTTTTAGCAAGTGATTTGATTAGTAGCAGAATGATTAGATTTAGCAGCTGATAAATTCAAGATGCTGCATCCCAACTGCATTGCTAGCTCCAGCATCAGCAGTACTTGAGCTTCAACCACTTCCCCGCTCCTCCAAACAGTCCAGATAGATCAATCTTAAAGAACCACTTAACTTGAACAAGAGATTCGTGCCTGTGGACAGGAGTTGTTAGGAGCAAAACTTGAGTTATAGCTCGAGCTAACGTGGAACTGAAGACAAGCCCTTAGAGACAACTGTAGGGTGTTTTTCTGTCAAATGGTGTGAAACAAATTAAGGTCCTAATTCTGCTAAGATTTACACATCTGTGTAACTTTACACAGGTGAGCAGTCTCATCAGGCTTACATTTTTGGCTATAGGATTGGAGCCTTAATTTGTTTTACTACACTGGACAAGGACTCCATTAATTAATTCTTTTGAATTAAATTACTTTTCCCTTAGACATGGCATATTCTTTCTGGGCCATACTATTCAAATAAAAAAAATTCTTGAAAATGTACATAGCAGTAAATGAGAACAGAACATGGCCCTAAATGAAATTAAAAAATAATTCAAATAGCAGAAAAAATGAAAGACTTCAGAATCAACTTTGAAGGTGTACTGTAGCCTCTCATACCAGATTAACAACATATCTTGATACTTACTCTGGGAGATGTTTGTATTTCTCCAAATCAATTTCTGGAAAAAATGTGTCACTTTCAAACTCATGCAAAATTCTTGTCACAAACAATCGCTGGTGAACTGGCTTCTCCATTGCTGCCTGAAAAACAAAAACAAAGGATTAAAATTTTAGTTTCTTTCTACAACACCACAACTAGGCAAAATGGAAGATTATTTTTGTCATGGAGATTTTTAATGTAGATTTTGATTGAGAATTATTTTTAGTGAAACTTGTATATATTAAAAAGTATCCAGTAGCTTTCTCATTTCAAATGCTACTTTTCTTTGCCATTTCCCCACATTCTTGTCCTCAGTATCTGCACCAAACATCCCCAGTGTAATGTCCAAAAAGAACCAAGAGATCAGAGTTTTAGAATGGCAACATTTATGGTTCCCTATACAGTTACTGTGACAAATTCTGACACTATGTATACAGTGTCTTCTATGTATAGTGATTATGGGACTGGTAGTCAGGAAATGTTAGTTCTATTTCTGGCTCCTTCCAGTTTAAAGGATGATCTTGGGCAAGTAATTAATTTTTCACCCCAGTCTCATTTTTAAATGGTGATAATACCTAGTGTGACACTCTGTGCCCCAAAGAAACACGCTGCACCCAATATTCACCATGATGATATCATTATGATTTTGTTTTGTATAAAGTATGCCCTGGGAAGGTATCATTCTAAAAGTCTTAATCTGTTGAACATTAATATCCTATTAAGCTGTATGTGCTATCGTATATGAAGTTATAAAGTTTTGCTATGTATATGCTACTGAAACATGTTGTGAGGTTGGGAACACCCACAAGCAGCCTTTCAGGTACAACAATAAAAAGGCCAAACAATGTTGATGGCCTACTGAGGAAATACATACTCACAAGGATTACCCCAGGAACTGAGTACAATAGAAACCTCTCAGAGATAGCACTACACAATGGAGACTGTTTGACCCAGATCACAGCAAGAGCGTTCCAGCAAGTTGGAAGAAGATATAAAAGGGGGAAGTGACACATGAAGAGACCTCACTCTCCCTACAACACAACAGCTGAAAATATTACAGGAAAAAAGACTGAACTGGGGGGAGGGCGTGAAGAGGGGGAGTACTGGTCCCAGGCAGAAAAGAAGAAAGCCCTGCCTTTGTATGAAATGTCAGCAAACTGCTTGTACTACTTAACAGGGTGAGATACTGCTTGATTCAAATCCTATCATGTATATTAGGCTTAGATTGTGTTTTTATTTTATTTCTTATGGTAATTTACATTGTTTGCTATCACTTGACATCTATCTTTCTGTAGTTAATAAATCTGTTTTATGTATATTTAACTAAAACAGTTTGGTTTGGGTGAAGTGCTTGGGGAAAAAAAATCTCAGATCAGGAACAAGGGTGGAGGGATAGCTCAGTAGTTTGAGCATTGGCCTGCTAAATGCAGGGTTGTGAGTTCAATCCTTGAGGGGGCCACTTAGGGATCTGGGGCAAAATCAGTACTTGGTCCTGCGAGTGAAGGCAGGGGGCTGGACTCTATGGCCTTTCGGGGTCTCTTCCAGTTCTAGGAGATAGGATATCTCCATTTATTATTATTATTCTAATGGTTGGTACATATCCACTTACCTTTGTAGAAGTGGTAGATTAGGTAATAAATTCATACTGGTCAGGTTTTTGACCAGGGCAGGATGGTATGGCCCTGGGGTCCTAGTCTGGGGAGCTGGAAGTATTTCGGCTGGAGCCTCTCTATTGTTGGTTCATGCAGTGGCTAGCCCAGTGTTCATGAACAGAGCTGGGTGTGGCCCTGCCTGTGGATGTTTGGGTGAGGGCAAACTTGGAGGGCTTTGCAGCTTGTCACAGCAGAACAGTGTGAAAGGGAGTCCGGGCTGGTGAGACAGAGGACTCAATGATAACCCAGTTCCAGGTGGCACGGGGGGGGGGGGGGGAGAACCAGTCACACCTACCTCACTTCCCTTACTTCTGCTGACAATGTAAAACAAAGTACAAGTATCTGAGAGACTTATTCTTGAGTTTGCCTTCCTATTGCCAATCCCAAACATTCAAAAATTATGAGACTTTAAAAAATTCTCTTTATTTGTCTTCTGATTTTTGAGACTATAAGGTGTAGTTGGGTCACATTTTCAAACTGTTTTCTGCACTAATAAGGGTTTGAAAATAACTTTAAAAAATACATGAAAGCTTGGATTCTCATGTAAACATTTGTCTGCAAAAGCTGGAACTTTTAGTAAACTATCAATACCACAACGTTTGTGATAACTGTGTGAGTTGGCACTAAAAAATCCTCCCATCAAGTTGCAGTAACTAAACTGAGTGACTGAGGTGGAAATCTGCACTAGGTCCTATTGCTTTTGCTTCAGTAGGGACAAAAGACAGTGCATAGCTCGCCCACCCACCCACCCCTGCACAGCAAAACTGCACGACTTTCACTACATATGTTGTCCACAGCTGGAATCCTCTACCACAGGGGTTCTCAAACTGGGGGTTGAGACCTCTCAGGGGGTCGTGAGGTTATTACAGTGGGGGGGGGGGGTCACAAGCTGTTAGCCTCTACCCCAAAACTGGCTTTGTAGCGAGCATTTATAATGGTGTTAAATATATTAAAAAGTGTTTTTAATTTATAAGGGGGGTTGCACTCAGAGGCTTGCTATGTGAAAGTGGTCACCAGTACAAAAGTTTGAGAACCACTGTTCTATCACTAGGGCTCTACCAAATTCACAGCCAGGAGAAACTTATCACAAACCATGAAATCTGGTTCTCTACACTCTATTATGAAAGTACCCTATACTATAGGGTAAAAGCATACAGCATTTCTCAAGCTGGGGGTCTAAACCCAAAACGAGGGTGCAAGGCTATTGTAGTGGGTCACGGTATTGCCACCCTTACTTCTATGCTGCCTTCAGAGCTGGGCACCTGGCCAGCAGCCGCTGCTCTCCAGCCACTTAGCTCTGAAGGCGGTGAAGAAGGGTGGCAATACCGTGACCACTCCTCCCAATAGCCTTGCAACCCCCTTTTGGTTTGGGACCCCCAGTTCGCAAAACGCTGAGTATGAAGGGCTTTACATGTTTATATTTTGTTGTTTTTAAATATATATGCATGTTTTGTTACAAAACGGTGAAATTTAAGATTTAAATATCTGAAACCATGACGTTCAAGATTTAAAAAATGCTGTTACTGTGAAATTTACAAAAATGGACCATGAATTGGGGAGGGCCCTATCTTGCACCTAAAGATTCGACCAATTATCTATTGGCTAGAAAGCTGCTCATTCTGCCAAAACAGAAATATTGGTACACTTACTCATTCAAGTTCCCCCACTACTTCTTCAAAGAACAGTCTTCTAAATCCTCCCCTACCATCTCAGCAAGTACCTTTTGAAAAGGAAATTTAAAAGCCTTTTATATTTACATGATTTGCGATTGCATCTCTGACTCATACTAACCTTTGCCTTCATCATTTTTTCCAGGAGAATGTCAAACCAATATGTTAATTCATCAGAATAAGAACTGGCAGGTTGTTTTGGGATAACATGAATATATAACTACATTTCTATCAAGGTCCCTTCCAGTCCTATAGTTCTGTGATTCTTTCTCATGTTAAAAGTCTTTGTTTAAAAAATATACTGCAAGGTTTCAGCCTTTTTTTCTAAAGTATGTGTAAGGATACCAGTACTCATCTAAAACCTACCACCAACGAATACTGGAGAAATCTCAACTATTTAAACAGACATGCCTACAAAAGAAAATACAGCTTTTAAACAGTAATAAATAACTCCATCTGTCTACTGTTAATATTGTAACCCCCTCCCCCAATCTAGTTTGTGGCTGAGACAAGACCACAGCAGCACGTGTCATGCTGATAGATGAGCTACTCTTGTGTACGGACTGGGGTACAGATCCATTCTTACAATACTGGATCTCGGGCATTTAGTGTCACCAACTTAATTGGCCTGGTAAGACAACTCCCACCTGTTCATGCTCTCTGTATGTGTGTATATATATCTCCTCAATATATGTTTCACTCTATATGCATCCAAAGAAGTGGGTTGTAGCCCACGAAAGCTTATGCTCTAATAAATTTGTTAGTCTCTAAGGTGCCACAAGTACTCCTGTTCTTTTTGAGGATACAGACTAACATGGCTGCTACTCTGAAACCAACTAAAGGGGGAAATTGTTCTTCCACCTCATCATCTCATTCATCCTACTACATCTACTTGAAGCCACAAGGGGAAGTTACATCCACATGAATTCAGATGCCAGAAATAAAATGAGGTAAACAATATTTTTCAGCTATCCAAGTGCCAGGTTTCATCAGCATCTGTCTGAAACTAACCCTATGTAAGACAAAGGTAATTCTGGTGCAAAAAAAGTAACAGTGCCACCATAACTCCACCCTCCATCAAATTTGCTTATCTTCAGATTGTTGCATACATCTGCAGCCTCAGAGTTTCTCCATAGATTAAAGGCAGAAGGGACCATTATATCATCCAGTCAGATCTCCTGTATTACACAGGACAACAAATTTCCATTCCTCACTGATAATGGATACACAAATAGCTATGCTTATGAAAAAGGCACTCTTCCATCTATGCCTATCTAAGAAGGGCAAAATCCCTTATCAGACTGGCTATTGTGAACCACACATTTATGATCTATGGGTTTGATTGCTACAGTGCAATATACCTAAGGATCAAATTATCAGCCTTAGAAAGGTTCCAAGGAGTTCAAGCTATACGAGTTCACCTGCTTAGCAGCACAATCGATAGAGGATACAAGAACTCTGCTTTTTATACTGGTTCTCCATTAAGTACACCGCTACCTCGATATTAACGCAACCCGATATAACACTAATTTGGATATAACGTGGTAAAGCAGCGCTCCGGGGGGGGGGGGGGGGCTGCGCACTCTGGCGGATCAAAGCAAGTTCGATATAACGCGGTTTCACCTATAACGCGGTAAGATTTTTTGGCTCCCTGGGACAGCGTTATATCGAGATAGAGGTGTAGTGTAAAGTCTGAGACTTCAGTCCTGAGTTCTGGAGCCCTCTTTGTAAATGGCCCAACCTACTTTGGTGACCATATCAACTTCTGGATGATGTTCT